AAATTGATAAGAAAAATGAAAGGCTTGTTTTTCAAAGTCCTTTGCTGTACCAGATTACTCAGGGGATTTGAAAAAGGACTTATTTATGATCAAAAAATTTTCTACCAGAAGATACCACAGTTGAGCATCGAATCTAGATCTTTTTCAGTTTTCTCGAATCGGTTATTTATCGGTAAAATGATCTGTGCTGTAGTCTAGTGAACTGCTTGAATCCCTTGATGATTTGAGATTCATTGGCTTGAGAATGAGTGAGATTAAATAGCTGAAATATCAAAGATTGGTAGAGTAGGCTTGTGATAGAAATGTTATTGATTGTGAATCGTTACTGTGGCTAATGGATATGTCTCTATGATTTCAATTCTATGATCTCTATGATCTTTGCTTTAAAATCCTCTCACTAGAGTCAAAACTCAAACTTTGGTCAAGGCTCATTGCATGAAAAGACGGCTGATCTTGCTTTGAATCTCGAAATTTTGAAATTTCGAGATTGAGTAAGGCATAACGCTCTATTCTAGCAGCAATCAACGCATCTCGGTGTAGCTTATTGGTAGAGCGTTTGCCTGGCAACAAGAGGCGCCGACTGCTCGGCGGCGGGTTTTATCACATTACATCGAATCCCGGCGCCGACCATTGTATTCCCAGTCCCAACTGTGTCCAACTATTGGGATCACCATATCCTTACACTTGCTGAATCCATGACTCACTTCATGGACTTTTACAACTTCCTACAAGCTTATAAAAAAGGGTTTATCTTGAATTGCGAGATCCTATGAAGTCATGGAATCTGGATCATCTTAACAATAGTTACTGATGATTAGCTGCAAGACAAGCACTGCAAGACAAGCACTGCAAGACAAGCACTGCAAGACAAACTTAGTCAGACAAGTTTCAAGGCAGTTTAGGCTAGAGTTTGTGTTCACTCAAAAGCAAAGAAAGCAAAGAAACTTCAATCTATCAATTTTTGGCCTGATTGATGATGAGGGTTTACGAAAAATACCGAAAGAAGTTGATAGATTGGATAAAAATGAAAGAAACTTACGTTATTTTACAAGAATTGACACGTTTTAGAAGCGTAGAAGAAGCGTACTTTAAATGGAAATTTCTTTGTATGAGCTTTGAAGTCATTTCTCGATCGAAAGCAAAGATTACAAAAGACCGTTAATTTGCAAATTCGATTCCGAAAACACAGTTCATTTCAGCAAAATTTCTTTCTTTGATCAAACAACACTTGAAGCGGTTTAAATTGCCTAAAAACACAAAGACAACCAAATTGCGTACTTTAGAAGAATTGTCGAACTTGTTTGGGGAAATTCCCAAATGGGATCTCTAGCTGGTGCGAGTTTTGGTTCTACGTGATGGAATATTGCTGTTGATTGCTGTTGTTTGCGATTCGGCAATCAGCTGAGAAGCTCCCTTGAGAGTTTAAAGTTTTAAATAGAAATTCTAATCAAACAGACGGCTTAATTTAAGAGATTGTAAGAAATTTAGCTTTATTGAAAGTTTATAGACAGGGAAATGACGCGTTTGGCTAGATAAATTCTTTAGAAAAGTCCAAGTTTATTAGGGTGACTTATTGGCAAGTATATAGCTAAAAGAACTCTAACTCTGTGAGCTTATTTTGAAACTCTAACAGCTATTTTTGTTCATACGTTGATCCCTTTTTTGACCAGAGTCAGCCAGTCCAAATTCGAGCTCGAATAGACGCTCTAAAGCTCGCTCCAGCTACCAGCCAGCCTAGATATCTCATGGTTTAATCTTCAAGATCTTATTCTATCTACAAATCTCTTGAATTACTGTAACATTAATAACTGATTGCAGTGCCTAAGTCGACAGTTTTCAAGTGATCAAACTTGATCTGAAAATGGGCTTGAAAAATCTCGTGTGCAATGTTATTATGGTTACATTCTATAAGCGATATTATAAAGATTTCAATTAGACTTGTGTTTCGGTTGGCTCTTTTCGGTTCAGTTTCGGTTTCGGTTCAACCGAAGTCAACCGAAATCTTTCGGTTCGGTTCGGTTCGGTTCAACCGAAAAGATGAGTCTTTCGGCTCGGTTCGGTTAACCGAAACCGAAACCAAAACCGAACCGAAAAAGAACGTTTCCGGTTCAACCGAAACACAAGTCTAGTTTCAATGTCAGTGTCAGTGCAAACTCAAAGAAGAGCAGAATGTTCCATTCATTCAATGCACTCAAAGCTTTCAACCTAAATCACAAACTAACACACCAAAGTTCACATTCGTTTCTTCTTTGTTTCAAAATTTCGCAATTTCTGAAACAAACAAATTAGTGACTATTAGTAAAGATATAAATGTAAATTAGAAAATTCTAAAGAATTGAAAATCTTTTGTAAATTTTATTCTTTCCTAATTCCTTTAAGATTTCCCTACAAAGAATCATCTGTTCCACTAGAAAAAAAGAGAAAAGGAGGATTTGATTTGTCCAATTTGCGGCTAGTTTACTTTTTTCAGTGCTTTTGAAAAGATAAACAAATTAATTAGTTTTAAAATTCATTGTACTACGCTAAAGTAGGTGTCAGGTGGTAAGTTTACATTGAATAATAATACTTTATTCAAACGATAAAGTGAAAGAAATCATAGAGAAATGCACAGTGATACTTAATCATACAATACATACTGAAATCAATAAGCCAATTACTTACGGCAAAGCGCCACTAGATCTAAAGCATCGATACGTTTCTTGAATATGAAAAGCGACTGAATTTCTCGTATGTCGTTTGGGAGCAAGTTCCATAATCTAGCGGCTCTAACGGGAAATGAATTTGATAAAGAGGCATTGGAAGCAAAGGGAATTTGCAAAAGGAATGAGCCACTTCTGGGCCCTGACCGCGGTTTAAATTTGAAAAAGTCTATAAACAAAGGGCTAATTGTGGGAAGATTCTGTGGAATTTCTAATTGATTTGAATAAAATACCTAATAGAACGACATCTCAAGCAGAATTTTGTGTCTTTAAGCCATATATTGAAGTCACTTGAAGTGAAGTTTCAATTTGTGTAATCTTAAACCACATATAGCCCGGCATTTGTACAGGTTTGGGCCAATAAATCCGGACAACTTTTTGGAAAAGTAGTTGTCGCAAGCTTAGTTTATTTCAAAATGTTAATTGTTATATAGAGAATTGTAGCCCTTAATCTTGGCTACATTTATCAACTAAAAACTTTCCAATTGGATGGATACAGCTAATTTAACCAGTCTTTTAATGAGCACTAGTCGATCGTCAAAAATGGCGGATAGGGATTGACTAGTGCTCATTAAAAGACTTGTTAAATGAGTTGGATACACCCAATTGCCAAGTTTTTGGTAGATAAATGTAGCCAAGATTAAGCGCTACAATTCTCTATATAACAATTAACATTTTGAAATAAACTAAGCTTGTGACAACTACTTTTCCAAAAAGTTGTCCGGATAATTTTGCTCAACCCTGTAGTTTGTCCAGCTACGTATCTCAGACGAAGAAAAACCCGGTGATGCTTGGTAAATTGATAATAGCCGTGACCCAGATAAGAAAACATGATTGCTTGTGGGAGTTGGAAGTGTTGCCTACGGGGTCGGCGGGTGTTTTTATCTTATCCTCGTCGAGTTATCTTGTCTGTCCATCTGTTCATCTGTTCTTTATCTCAATTGTCTTCTGGCAAAAATATAAACGACCAAAAAAGAGAGAAAAAATACCATATTTTCCCCAATAGTAGTGCACTCCGCCGAGTTGGTGACTTTTTTACGGTTTCCAATTTTTCCCAGAAACACAACATTCTAATTTCCCACAAGATCTCATCGTGAGCTACATTTTCCGACCCCACATCGATAGGTTCTGATAAGCGCTTTTCGAGATTTCGAGGAATTTAAGCGAAGCTTACGGTGCACTACTATTAGAGGAAATACGGTGTCTAGCCAAAGATATTTCAATCAGACCTGTGAGCCAGGTTCTAGCAGGGACTTTAGCCAAGCCAAGCCAATAATAAGGCAAATAATACCGTATTTTCTCTAATAGTAGTGCACTCCGCCGAGTTGATAACTATTTTACGGTTTCCAACGTTTTCACAGAAGCTCAACACTCAAATCCCCCACTAGATCTCATCGCCAGCTACATTTTCCGATCCCACATCGATAGGTTCTGATAAGCGGTTCTCGAGATTTCGAGGAATTTAAGCGAAACCTACGGTGCACTACTATTAGAGAAAATACGGTAAAAACTATTCGAAACAATCAAAAGTCAGGCATGACTTAACTGATTGATTTTCTTCTTTTCAACACTGTCCAACTTTTTGCAGCATCTATTGGTGTAACTACACTCTGAACCACCACCTCGCAATCATTTACCAATTGTGCACATATATCCCAATCTTTTGCCAGTTCTCTCTACCAATCAACCGATTCTTTGCAATCTTCGCCGAAGGGAAATATTTTTCCATATTCCATAGGTTCTGATAAGCGGTTCTCGAGATTTCGAGGAATTTAGGGGACGCTCACTGTGCACTACTATTAGAGAAAATGGGGTATTCTGTATTTCCTCTAATGGTAGTGCCCTCTCCTCCTCCCCCCGGCCTAGCCGGCATCTCAACTTTTGAAAATACTGTACCCCTGGCCCTCGTTTTCATCAAATATACCGTATTTTCGCTAATACCGGCGAGCCGAGTTGATGACTATTTTACGGTTTCCAATTTTTCCCAGAAACTCAACACTCAAATCTCCCACAAGATCTCATCGTCAGCTACATTTTCCGACTCCATATCGATAGGTTCTGATAAGCGCTTTTCGAGATTTCAAGCAATTTAGGCAAAGGGATGCAAAGGGATGCACAAGTATTAGTGAAAATACGATATACAATTCGAAAATAAGCGCTCAGTTTTTCTGTAGAAATAAGTAGTAATAGTAAAAAAGTGTAGTAAACAGTAAACAGTAAACAAGCGCTGTAGCTTTTCTTTTCAAACGTTTATCTTTAATTCCACAACCTGTATCACAAAGCTATGATGAAATCTTCTTAAAATATCACGATCCACGAGTCGGACGGTCCGGTGGATTTAGCTGTGAAATTGATGCAGAGAATCGGGATCAGCATTCCATAAAGATCAATGGAAAGACCTGGAAAAGGCATAGATATCTTGGCTACTGTAGCGTTTCAAATCAAATCTCTTCTACGCACCAATAATCGGCGTTTGCACCGAGCACATAAAATCCGGGTTCATCAGAAGAAACGCGAAATAGGTCTGAAAAGCAATAAGCATAAAAAAAATAGTTTTCTTTGCGATCAGTGTCAGTGTAGTCAGTGTAGTCAAAAAAATAGTCAGTGTAGCACCCTGGTCTGATCTCAAAGTTCTTTTTGATACTTCTTGATCGGATAACTTCAAATCAAACTCAAAATAGAATCAAAATTATAGTTAGAATGAGCTGGGCAAAAAGTCCTGGTGCTGTCTAGTGTCTGTCTATTCCCCATCTTAAGTATTTTGAGTTGGGCTGGAGAATTTGGTTTTGGGAACAATATGAGAGCCGTATGCTTCTTTCCCGGAAATTCGTTGACAGAGTAAGCGTACTTTTCCCGTACAATGTACTCGCGCGGAGCCGACAAATTCCGGCGGAAAAGCTTGAAGATTTCTGTGGAAAGTTTGATCCGGCAAAAAAACATTCAACAAGAATACTCGAAAAATGCCTTGAAAGGGAAAGGATGCTTTAAAAGGCTTTTCCTAGCCTCGACCCTTGATGCGTCGGTGGCCTAGTGGGTATCGCGTTGGCTTATGAATCGCAGGATCATGGTTCGACTCCCAGTAAAGATTTTTGTTTTGTTTTTCTTTCGCTTAGACGCTAAATTTTTGATTGAAGTTTAATGGGGAACAGATCACTAATAATTAATCAAATTTTTCTATTTAACTCACCAACGATATTGTGAATTGACCCATTAAAAAGGCGAAAGCGATCGTTCGCAGTAAGCAATTCAGTCGAGCTTTTCGTCGATTTCGTCTTCTAAATTTGTAATTTTATAGATTTTCTTACAAACTTTACCCTCTCAAATGAAAATAATGAACTCCATTGATGGCTATTGTGCTTAAAGTGGCGATGAAAACCAAAAAGCTGAAGATAGCGCAAATTGTGCGGAAACTCTGGAAATTTTCTTGGTTTTTTTGAAGAATTCACGAATTTCCTCAATCCTCACCTCAATTCTTTCTTTCCAACACGATGAAAGAGCAAAAATGATAGCGACAAAGACATAAAATAATAAAGGAAGAGCGAAAATCGGAGTGTAAACGGTGAGGAAACTCATTCGGGCAACCTAAAAAAAGAAAGAAAGAAAGATCATCACCAATCATCACCAAAAATCCTTTCAATCACGAACTTTCTCTTCTTTCTCCGGCCGCATTCTTGCCAACAATCGCACAAAACTGATCAACACAACCGTCGACATATTCACCATCACGAGATAGCAAAGAAGTGAGATTTGAATCGTTTCCAAATATCTTAAACTAGTCAACCAAACTGAAATTTAACATTTTTTCATATTCATTTCTTGCTCAACTTCGAAGTTTATGCAATAAATTTGATTCAAAATTGTATAAAGAAGTTTTGACGGCGGTCATATTAAGGAAAAGGATACCGATGCACTAAATTTGTGTTTCGTTTTTTTGAAAACAACAAACTTCTTTTACCGTAACACTGATCACTGTGCAACTGTGACGCAAATAAGCCGCAAAATGAGCTTTATGCAAATAGAGATAACGAATGGAGAAGAGTTGAAATGAGACAAAGAATAAGACGAGGAAACAACCGGCCACGTAGACAATGTCCTGGATGAGAGCCTCGTTCTGCAAAGGGATTCAGTTTATGTCCTTGTCCATGACCAGCCAGACCAGCAAGACCAGCCATTGGCCAGGCTCTGTGCAGACGGATTTTATTTTATTTACCCCTAGAGGAATCGAACCCATGACCTTTCTCACTCAAGAACAAAGAAAGCAAAACAAAGATTGTATCGGGTCGGGATCGAACCCGAGACTCAACTCAACTTGGCAGATCGGACGCCGGGGCGCACCACCACTATTAGAGAAAATACGGTAAAAACTATCCGAGACAATCAAAAGTCAGGCATGACTTAGCTGATTGATTTTCTTCTTTGATTGATTCTGCACCACGCTTTAGCATGTATTCTTTAATTTCACTTTTTAGGAAAAACGGTCAAATTATGTGCTAAATATTATTAGATTTTTGGAAACTAAGTAAAAATTTAGGTTTATAATGTCAAACTTTCAGATCGATTGGTTCAGCCATTACTTTCGATACAGACACACAGACTCTTTCGCAACAGACACACAGACTACAGACACACACACACTCTTTCGCTTATAATAAGATTGAATTTAAGAATTTTATAATAAGATTTTAAGACAAAAATTTGAATTTTCAAAGGGAAAACTTTGATCTGAAAACACACTTTTTATAGGTTAAATTGAAAGATTGAAAGCTTGAAGCATATTAGAATCATTTAGAATCATTCTATTTGAATTCTATTTGAATCACTATTAAGGACACAGCGTGACAGACAACTCAAACCATTTCAGGCTCAAGTTAAAACAAAAAAACAAATGAAAAGTGGTGAAATTCTTTTCTTTACTTACTAGACATGGGCTGAATTGTTCCGAGAAGGCGAATCCCATCGCTCTCTGATCATCTCGCCACACCATTTTATTCTACTTTAAACAAAATTCTAGAGAATTATCAATAAGACTACTTTAACAAAAGTAAATTTGTTCAAATTTCCGTTTTATAAAATATTATTTCAAAATAAGAAAGAGTAATTTAAAAGAGTTAAAGAAAAACTCGATAAGTTGAGCGAAAAAGAATGAAGAAAGACTAAAAAGAATCAAGAATCGAGCCAAAGGATCGAGTCAAAGAGTCGAGCCAAAGGATCAAGCCAAAGGATCGAGTCAAAGAATCGAGTCAAAGGATCGAGCCAAAGGATCGAGCCAAAGGAGCGAGTCAAAGAATCGAGTCAAAGGATCGAGCCAAAAAATCAAGCCAAAGGATCGAGCAAAAGGATCAAGCCAAAGAATCGAGTCAAACAATCGAGCCAAAGAATCGAGTCAAAGGATCGAGTCAAAGGATCGAGCCAAAGGATCAAGCCAAAGGATCAAGCCAAAGAATCGAGTCAAAGAGTCGAGTCAAAGAATCGTGTCAAAGAATCGAGCAAAAGAATCAAGCCAAAGAATCGAGCCAAAGGACCAAGCCAAAGGACCAAGCCAAAGAATCAAGCCAAAGAATCAAGCCAAAAACTTTCTTTCTACATTTTAGCATAAAGTACATGAAAAAAATAAGAATTTCGGAAATAAAAATAAACAATTCTCACTTATCTTAATCTTTTTCTCATTCTAAATCGATAAAATTGCCATCTTTTGGGAGAAAATTTGGGGGTAATTTTCCCAAACACAAGAGCTCACTTCTTTCTTTTTGTTGAACTTAAAATATTCGTTAAAAGCTCTAATTTACGATCAATTTATCTAATCTTTTAGAATTTTAGAAAAAAAATGATATTAATGTGTCATTTTGATATAAGAATACAGAAAAATTTATGCTTTTAGAGAAAAAGAATAGTAAAAGTTTTAAAAAGTAAAAGGGAAAAAGAATTTTTGACAAAAAACATAAGCTCTAACAGGCAAAATATGTTTTTTAAAAAAGAAAAAAGCTATCGTAATCTTTTGAGAATAAAAAGAATAGTTTTTCTCGAATCCAGCTTTTAAAAGAACAACGTAAATACTGTAATAGTACCCCACCCCCACAATGACGGTGCGGAGTGTTGCGTAGTCTAGCTTTGAACGAGTTTTTCTCGACACTGGTTTATGCTAAAATGCGCGCTTTGGTATCAAAAAAATAGCTGAGATTCAGGGCTATTTTTTGATACCAAAGACGCATTTTTTGAAAGTACGGGTGCTTTGCAAAAAATGAAATAATGAAATACTTGCGACTACGCGACTGTACGAGGGCAGTGGGGCCCCATTTTTGGTATCAAAATGATCTTTGCACACGTCCACACAAAAGTTATCGGTTTTGAGGGCGCAATCTTTCGACCACGCTGAGAACGAGCCACCGAAAGTTGGTCGCGGCGAGCGAGTTGATTGCAAAAGTGCGCTTTTTTCGATAAAAGGCGATTTAAAAAAAATCGAGTCAGACGGATTTCGATAATTTCTTCATCATTCGATTCAGCACAATTTTCTGCGTCGAATGGATATTTCAAACGTGAAATTCTGATAGAGAACGTTTTTTTGGCTTATTTCGCGCGGATGTGTGGGATACTATTACAGTATTTACGGCAAGGAAAAGGCAATTGTTTTTGAAAAGTTGCTTGTTTTTGAAAAGAAAAGGCTATCGTTTTTTTCAAATGAGATTACGGTTCGCAGGATTACAGTAGCTTGTTCTAGCTTTTAGAAAATGGTGCTGAGAAAGAGAAGAAAAAAAACAGGCAACAAATTGTTTTCAAAAGAAATGACAGTAAACCAACAAGGAAATTGATTGATTATTTGCTTTTTTTGGTGTACTTTGCGCTCAAAAACTGTAGAAACACTCCTTTTCTGATGCACTTAAGTAAAAAAAGGGCACTTTTTGGTTATCTCCCCAAGGCACTCAAAAATTTGCATTTACCAATTTACATTTATTAATTTGCATATAACATTTGGATTTTCCGAGTGGGGCTCTTATAAGTAGTATTAATTTTTAAAATTTGCATAAACATTAACGATACCGTAATAGCTCTAATAGTAGCGCCCCGTCCCCCCATAATGACGGGGTATTGCCGCGTAGTCTAACTTTACACGCTCCGTTCTCCGCGCTGCTTTATGCTACAGTGTGCGCTTGGGTGTCAAATGATAGCCCGTGAAATCTAGTATTTTTTGATACTAAAAGTGCAGTTGGGAAAAATCTAGCAGCTGAGAGAAAAATGATTTTCTAAAAAGAGGTCAGACTACGCGACTGTACGGGGGGCGCTGCTATTAGTGGTATTACGGTAGCAATTGTTTATAGAATAAAAACATTGTCTATGTCTCTATGTTCTGTTTTCTAAAACCATTTAAACATGTAATGCAAAACTCGAAAAGAAATTAGCATTTAATTGCACCAGCGAAGCGCAACGGAGTATTGGTGGGTGGGGAAAATTTCAGTTGAAAGCTTGGTTTCTTTTTTTTGGAGCTAAGGGGGGAGATAACCAATAAGTACCAAAAAGTTTTCCTTTTTCTTGTAGCAATGCTTTGAAAACAAGGAAATGTGAAAGAAGTGCTCTAGAAAAGGCATTTTTGAGCACAAAGTTTCTTTTTTCTTTTTTATTCTTGAAAACTTTTCAGAATCTGAATAGAAAAGAGACAAAAAGGATTGTGATTGAGGAGAGAAATGGGGGAATCATTGTGGACTTTGGGGTGGTCGAGGCACGGATATGCATCATGAACATATAAGGATCCACTGAATAAATCCACGGCTTCACAAAGTCGACCGCTAAAATGAATTTTGAATTTTTCAATGTAATGTTTAAAACCGATACAGGTACAGAGAAACGCGACTTTTCAAAGGTTAAAAACAGGTGCAATTCTCAAAAATACGTTTTCTATTATTAGATTGTCCGGGAAGAAAATACCCTTTTAATGAAAAACAAATTTATCTCCACAAAAAGAAAAAAAATGCGCTTTAATCCAAAAGATATTCTAGATATTCTCCGTTGTTGGCAATAGTCTTTCTCCATTTTTCTTTCAAATCTCGGATCCCTTTGCTGAAGAAATCCTGAAGCTGCGAGTCAAAGTATTGGCTTACCCAAATTCGGATTTCGTCGTGATCCTTGAAGTGTTTATCGGTCAGGAAGTGCTGCATAGATCGAAATAAGTGGTAGTCTAAGGATGCCAGATCTGGAGACATTCCCAACCCAATATCCTCGAGTTTTTCCTGCGTCTTCTTTGATGTGTGTGGGCGCGCGTAATCTTGCAGATATCTCGCAGTCGATGTGTTTACACCTGGATTCTTGAGAGCCTGGTCTACTCGTTCTAGCTGTTGCACATATAGATCTGAGTGACTGTTGGAAGGGAAGGTAGACCCTTAAAGTGTAAAAGACCACGGAAATTCCATCAAACAGATAACATAGCCTTTCTTCCATCCGAATCACGTTGTGGCGTCGTTTTTGGCTGTTCTCCTGGGCTATACCAATACGGCTTTTGCGATGGGTTATCGTAGTAAATCCATTTTTCATCGGTCGTCACAAAAGTTTCCCAAAAACCTCGATTTTTTGATTGACGAAGAAGAATACCGGCCATAGTCACTCGAGTAGCTTTATTAGCTTTATTAGCGCCAGCTTTATTAGCTTTATTAGCACTAAGTTGATGGGATACCCATTTTCGGACGAGATTCGCTTTACCCCAATGGTTGTGTGGCCTACAGCAAACATCATTGCAAGTTCCCGAATCGATTACCGTAATCGACTTTTTATCCAATATATCTATCTCTAATTTTTCTAACGATTACAGAACATTGTGAAGCTTTAGAAAAACGCCTTTTCTTTAAACTGACACTTATTCGCCCCGTCATTCACTCCCTTAGTCGATCCCCAAGTTGTCATCATTGCGTATTCGAGTTGTTTATTGTAAACCAACACCTAAACATATTGTGCTTTGTAAAAAATCATTTCAAATCAATTCAAACTCACATAATTCGCGTCCTTGTGTTTTTTCACATTTGCCGCCGCGGCCTCTCCTTGAATCCATTGTTTCATTCGACAATACAAGTAAGTGTCGTTTAAGAATGTTTCCATGCTTTCAAGCACTCCCATATCCTGAATAGAAACGAGAAATGTCAGACTTTTGAGGAAAAATGATCGACTTTTTCTCTAGATCAGATCAGGCCAAACTCAAGCCACTAACACAATAGAACTAGTGGTCAACCTGGGCCCAGATCTGGCCCAGGCACATTCACGTATGAGACTTTTAGATTAAATCAGTTTAGATCAGATTAGAGGTTTAGCCTAGACGGGTCAAGCCAAGCCAGCCAACTCCAGGCCGGATTCCAAGCCAGTGCGCTACCTAATAGACATTAGACATTGGAAATTCCGAGCCGAACCTAATTCCACCTTCATTTTCTCGGCCGTCCCTTGGCCGATTGCTCTAAAATTTTGTCTACAAGCTGAAAATGAAGACTTCTATCTGTAGACAAAATTCCAGAGCAATCGAACAAGAAAATAAGGGTGGAATTAGGTTGGGCTTTGAATTTTCCCATTTCTATTGGGCAATTCCTATTAGATCTTCAGTACTCATGATTATTTTGCCAGCCAGCTTTACAGCATTTCATTCTTATTCTTTTAATAGAGACAAACTTTAGGAATCTTAGGTTCAGCTTTATCCCACAGTGAAATACTACACTCAACAAAGATGCTGAGTGGCTGAGAAAATAGACATAATAGGCTGGCAAATGAGGCAAGACTCGACTCCGGCAAAAAGTCGGATCATTTTTTGGGCTCATTTCATTCTATCTTCTCTAGATCAATAAGAAGATTCCGCTATATTCACCGTTTCCACATAATAGAGTCCCTCCTGTTTTTTGCTTTCGTCCAAATTGTTGTACGAGAGTGCGGGCACCAAATTCTCGTCTCCCCACGTCGCACACTCAATGAATGGCGTATTTTGCTGAAAAATATCACAAACACATTGCAGTTTTAGCGGTTTTACTGTAGTTGAATGGCTTTAATATTCAAAAACGAACATAGCACTGATCGGGGCACTGATCCATATCCGTACAATACGGTTGACATTGGCTTTTATCGCGAAATCCCAATCCCATCCACGTGTTCGTGATCTTCTCTTGGACTTTCGTCGTGAACAGCTCGACCTCCATCGTGCTGAACGACTAAATTTGGGCGTTTGGTTTGAAATAGCAATCTAATGTGTTTCCTGTGTGCAGATACAAACGTGCGTCATCTGGCATAGAGCAAACTATGATATGCTGGAAAGGAGTGGATTCGAATTCGAAGGAAAGTGAGTGGATTCGAATTCGAAGGAAAGTGAGTGGATTCGAATTCGAAGGAAAGTGAGTGGATTCGAACTATCGACTAGCTGCTCGACTAGCTGCTCGACTAGCTGCTCGACTAGCTGCTCGACTAGCTGCTCGACTAGCTGCTCGACTAGTTGCTCGACTAGCTGCTCGACTAGTTGCTCGACTAGTTGCTCGACTAGTTGCTCGACTAGTTGCTCGACTAGTTGCTCGACTAGCTCCATATCCTACTCCATTATCCATTACACTATGCAGCCACTATCACACCCCACGCGCATAAGTGTTATAAAGAGAGGAAAAATTATAAAAATTCAAAAAAGTAAAAACCACAAGGGGGTCGAACCCGGGGTGTGGTTTGCTGTAGACCAGTGCACTCCCGACTGCACCACACCGGCAACAAGTCCACGGCCAGAAAAACGGGTTTTTCAGTTGATTTCTCAATAAAACTCACAATTTGTCTGACGGATGCGCCGTGCTCGCAATGCATCCCTTTTGTTTCCAAACATCCCGTTGGATAAAGAATACAAAACTTCTTCCCATAATAACATTCATCGAGATCGAACAGGTGAAAATCCTCTTGACTCTTGATGGCAATCGAAAAACATTGAGTGTTCAAACATTGAGAATTTGAATATTTTCCATTTTCCATTTTCCATTTTCCTTACATTTTTCCTTACATTCAACACTAACTCACCAAAATTTTCTTTAGCTTCGATAAAACTCACTCCTAAAGGACACAAAATAACTTGAAAATTTGAATCTTTTTATTTCATTTTCCCGTAATTTTTCAGGTTTTCCATTTTTCAAAAAAAAACTCACCAAAAAATTGATGCCGAAAATGAAAAAAAAGTCGATGATTTTCATTGTAAATACCTGAAAATTTTATTTAAAAGAATGAAAAGAAGAAAATGTTTAAGAAGGAAATCATTGTGCCTATCAATTCTTTTTTCAAAATTCATCTTTCTTTTCACCTAAGCTTTTCATTCTTTTTTTTGTGATGTGAAAAGCTGAGGATTACACGCAAATCACTGAAGAAATGATAACAGAAATGAAGAAATTCAAGAGAAAACTTTAACGTTTTAAAAAAAATTTACTTGTTTTTAAGAGAATTCTCTTTTAAATTAAGCACCATAAAGTAGTATTGGAAGGCAATTGCCAAATAAAATGCCTTTCTTAAAAGAGTGAGTACTAAGGCATTAAAGGCGTTTTTCATTGTTCAAGGCAAATACAGGTTTTCTTTCTTAGAATCAAACCTACTCTAACCAGCTCTCATCAGCTCAACCTACTCTAACCAGCTCTCACCAGCTCAACCTACTCTAACCAGCTCTCATCAGCTCAACCTACTCTAACCAGCTCTAACCAGCTCAACCTACTCTAACCAGCTCTCATCAGCTCAACCTACTCTAGCTAGTTCAACGTTCATCGTGCTGAATGACTAAATCTGAGCGTTGACTCTGATTCGAGTTTATTCTTGAACACAAAACTATATGGGAAATCGTTTAACTATAAGGAATTTATTCTTGAATTTCATTTCGAAATGTGCTTAGTTTTTCGATTCTTTAGCTTCGATAAAACTCACTCCTAAAGGACACAAAATAACTTGAAAATTTGAATCTTTTTATTTCATTTTCCCGTAAGTTTTCAGGTTTTCCATTTTTCAACAATAACTCACCACAAGATTGATGTTGAAAAGGAAAAGAAAGTCAATGATTTTCATTGAAAACATTGAAAATTTTATGTAAAAGAAGTGGAGGGAAACTTTAGTCAAAAAAAAAGAAAGCAAATGATTTATGAAAGTGAAATTTAGAAATTATAGATATAAAGCTTAAAATAAACAACCAAATTCGTATTTACAAGCACCAAAGAATCACAAGAATGATAGAAATCGCTGAGACGAGGAAAGTGAATGTGTGGGATGATGAGGAGTCCTTTTTTGGCGGAGGAGTTAACTTCAACTCATCGATTACATGAGACTGAAAATATTGAGTCATTAGACAGACAAGTCATCAAAAAAAGCTTGAAGATTCACAGCTTAATATTGGGTTTTTTAGAAAAAGCTTTATATAGGCTTTAATGGCTTTAATGGCTTTAATGGCTTTAATGAAAAGGCTTTATATAGGCTGTAAAGTTAAGGTGCTGGCTCTAGACTAGAGGGTGCTGCTCGCATTCTAACTCCCAAAATTCTTAAACTCTTAAACTCTTAAACCCTTAGACTCTCAAAGCTATTGTAAACTGACATCTAGAAACAAAATTATGATAGTTTTCGAAAGTGGACAAGTTTTAGAATGCATTAGAATGCAAGCATGCAAGAATGCAAGAATCTAGACCGTTTGATAAACTCTGAATCTTTGGAATGAAAGAAGTCTTTCTCCTCCGTAGATCTTGCATCAACTTTTGTCTTTTGACACAATCGATTCTCTAATTTTAAGGATTTTAAAGAATATTTGAATTTCTTTTCTCAATAAGAGTAAACTATCATCCAAACTAACCTCGATTCTCACCATTGGTCCAATAGGACTTGGTGTCGTCCTTTTCGTAATAAATCGTCTCATTGATTTGGTGTAACTGATAAAAGGCGCCACTTTCTTTGTGCTCTCAATTGTTGTGTCGAATCCTTTCTTAGTTCTGAGGATTGGTGCTTGTGTGCCTCTAGAGGTTCCTTTTCCGAAACCCGCTCGAATCGTCGAGATCAAAGACGAGGTGAAAGCTGAAATTTGTCTTATTACAGTAATCTTTGGATAGCTTTCAAATTTCGATAGTTTATAGTTTTGTCTTGATCTTGAAGTCTGGCCTATTGATCTCACTTGTTCCATTGCTGGGCCCTTGAGCGGTCAACAACAGATACGATTTGGTCGGATCGATCTGGAGAACCTGAAAAACATTTATGAAAATGAATCATTATTAAAATCATAGCTATTTAGCTATTTAGCTTTTTGTTTGATTTTAAAGTTTCTAGCTTATAAATGTTAGCTGTTAGCTGATTGTTTTCTTTGATTTAATTTTTTGATCTCTTTGATCTTTAATTGTCTTGTTCAGCTTCAGAATTTGCTCGACGATGGCCTTCTCAAATTCGCTCGGCAGCTTTTGACAAGTTGTTGTTGGTGCCCTTATCGAATTTAGTTCAGATAAAGGTTTAAAGTTGGTTCAAAAGCGTTGTTCAAGCTCAAAGAAGCTAGCAAGTGCTATTTGAAGGTCTAAGTATGCCTTTTAGAAATCTAAACCTTTACCAGGCAAGAAAATTGCTTTCAGAGTGGTTATTTGTAAAGTATAAAGCACAATTTAATCCATTTCATTGCTTTAAAATCTTTTTATTTTATTTAAACCTTGTGCCCATTCCCGACTCCTTTCATCGACATTCCATTGAGCATTTCCACTTTACAATAGGTGATTCTATTCTTGGTGAAACGAAGGCTTCGCAATTCCGTCAAATTCATCAACTCCTACAAAATGGATAACTTTGGTTGGCTTTGTACCTGGCTTTGTATAAAATTGATGGCTTTACCTTAAGATTATTGATTCGAGTGTTTCGAGCGAACGAGTCCATATAGGAGAGGCCGATTTTGCTCCCTTTTCCAGTGACCGAACAATCGACTGTCGGGGTGTTGGCCTAGAATTTTAGAAAGATCTAAATATTCAAAATTCACTCACAAAACACGGTCCTCCATTTCCCTCAACCTCATCGCATTCCTTTGACTGAACACCTACTCCCATCCATTCTGGGAGATCCGACGACCACATCTCCACTTCGATCACTTCACTCTCTTTCTTCTCCTGAGCAATATTGTATCTAGCATTTAACATTCAGCTCTTAACCAAAACATTATGCTGTACTAATTGTAAGAAGCGTTTTCGACTATTTGAAAACTTCTTGAACTTTAGATTTCCCCATGTTTACCAACCAGCAACCAACCAGCAATCTAATGCTCGCTCCGTGAATACAGGATTTATCCTTTTCGCAATTCGCTGGTCCAAAAACACAATGTTTTTTCGTTAAACACTCGTTGAAATCAAACGGCATATTGAGAGCGGAATATCGCGGAAATAACGATGACCTGGCACGCTGAAATTGAACATATTTCTTTGCTTTGTGTTCAACAACATAAACATATCCTTTCTGATGCATTTGACTCTTCATTTTCTTGAAACATTTCTTTTTTAAGAGAAAAATAGGGAACTCAATGTGCTAGAAAGGATACTTCATGAATTGATTCATCACTCCTTAAAGCCTCGATTGTTAAGTAACTTGAAAGCCGTTACTTGTGCATTTGCATGATCAAGTTATTGTGAAAGACTCAAAGTTTGATCCTGTACCCTTGAAAGCTCATGTAACTCGGCGCGTTCCTGGGTAAGACCTTGCACTTCCTAAAGTCCTTGCACTTCCTAAAGCTCTTGCACTTCCTAAAGCCCAAAAGACTTCCTGGCTCACATGCGCTCACCACGACGCCCCACGGCCGAGCACCATAAAATAGGGGCTTTTAAGAAGGGAGGTCACTGTTTCCTTTGGAGGGCCTAGTGGACTTTCAATCGTCAATTTCTCAGCTCTCTCTGAACCGATTAAGCTGAAAATTTTTCTGTAGCTAGAATTGAGGCCGGAGATTCCGAATTTGGAAACGATTTTCAGAAAATGACAAAGGGAGTAGTGTGGAAGCGTTTTAGTTATCAGAAAAAGCTTCTCACTCAACCGCCCACCTATTTTCCATTGAAAATTTTTTTCAGGGATATTTACATACCGTAAATACTGTAATAGTACCCAACCCCCATAATGACGGTGCGGAGTGTTGCGTAGTCTAGCTTTGAACGAGTTTTTCTCGACACTGGTTTATGCTAAAATGCGCGCTTAGGAAACAAAAAATAGCCCTGAATTTCAGCTATTTTTTCATACCACAGATGCATTTTTTGAAAGTACGGGCGCCTTGAAAAAAAATGAAATAATGAAATAATGAAATACTTGCGACTACGCGACTGTACGAGGGCGGTGGGGACTATTACAGTATTTACGGTAAGGAAAAGGCAATTGTTTACATTTAAGCACAAAGCTTAAGTCGATTTCTTTAAAAACTCACCACTAAAGAAAGAAATGAGAGGCTGAGAATGATGAGAAATTGGGTGATCTTCCATTCAGAAAATCGCATCTTCTCAATCTTCTAAATTTTTTTTTTTTAGAACAAAATTACAGAGTTCTAGAGAAAGTTTTGGCTAGATTTTTTATGTTTTTAGAACATAAATTAGAACATAAAGAGGCCAGATGGCCGACCGGCTAGGAGTCTTGTCTTTTAAGCGGAAGGTCGAGGGTTCAATCACGCTGGCAAGATAAAAATGTTTCTTTTTCCCACCAAGTGGGTTTTTTCTTTCACAACATTTGGGTAATAGGGATAATAGGGGTAACGGCCGCAGTGCCATAAAAATTGTGTATTTAGACCGTTATGTCTTATTATGTATCCTTTGTTTGTATCACATTATTGGCTTTCAATAAATGTATTTTTAAAAAAAAAAAAATAAATTGATTGTTTTAATGAGTTACTAAAGTATTTAGGTAAATCTATTAAAGGCAAAGCTTGAACTATTAAAGAATTGTAATATTCTTGCTTTGAAAGTTATCGTATAGAAAAATGGTTTAATAGAAATTGAATAGAAGTTCAAAAGAAGGTCAAAAGAAGTTCAAAAGAAATTCAAAAGAAATTCAAAAGAAATTGAATAGAAATTGAATAGAAATTGAATAGAAATTGAATAAAAATAGAAAATTATATAAAAATTTCCTAGTGAAAGAGAAATTTGCAAAATTTTGTGTAAAAAAAGAGTCCAAATTTCGTGGAAAGATTCATTGAAAGATAAAATAAAAAAAAATAAAATTGAGACACTCAAATGATTCCTTTTTTTGCCAGATGTTCATTTTGAAATGTAAGAATGAAAAAAGAGAAAAAGAGAGAAGAGGAAAATAGGGAAATTCTTTGATGATTTCATTGGGAAAAGTCATCGAAATTGATGAAAAAATGAGGAAATCAAGAATTCTTTCTTCATTTTCTTTGTAAAATTTATGTCGAATTCTGTTTTTGGAAAGCTTTTGTCTTAGCAAATGATTTTTGAATTAAAAGTGTGTAAACACACTCTTTCTGGTGCTTTCAATCCCTCTTTTCTTACAGAAACGGTTAGCTTTCGTAAGGAAAAATTGAATTCACATCAGCAGAAAGGGTTTTTTTAAACATTTTCAAGCACAAAGTATGGCACCTAATGGCCTAAAAAGGGGACTATAGAGTATACTTTGTGCTCTAACACAAAAAACGCCTTTCTAGCATACTTATTTCCTTATTATCAAGCTATTGTCAGAGGGAAAATGAAGAATTCATTGCATCAGAAAGGTTGTTTTTCTAGTTTTTGTCGAATTTCAGGTTTCTTTTTAAAAAATTAACTTTTTAAAATCATTTATTTACAATAATTACCAAAAATTTTATCAAAAAAAAAAACATTTTATTTAAAAAAGAACCCGAAAAAAATGATAAAAAATGAGGAAATTGTGGAGGTAAACAAGGAGAATTTTGTGGTAGTTTGGAGGGGAATTGAAGTGGTTGATGGGATTGGGATTGGAGTTGTGGTTGTCACTTCGATTACTGTAGTAGTTGGAATTGAAGCTACAGTGGTAGCATTTGAGTTGACTGGCGCCATCACTGGATAACGGAGTTGCGAGAGAGCGATGGCAGTATGCTTGGAAATTGCTGAAAATTTAGATTCAGAGATTTTCGGGATTTTGATCGGTTTATGGTAGCTGGGGAAAGCTTTAGAGTCGACGCTATTTCGAAAAGGGGTACTTTGTGCTTAAACATTCCTTCTGGCGCACTGATCAATTCAAAATACAGAATATATTGCACAAGAAAGCGTGCGTTTAAATGTGAACACAAAGTAGACTAGCTGGCATTTGAAAAAATTAGTTTTTGACTCAAAAACGTGTCATCTCCTTTCTAGTGCACTGGTTTGGGGATTAATTAAAACAAAATGAACTGTACGGTACTGTAGTGTACTGTACTGTACTGTACTGTACTGGACTGTGCTGTACTGTACTGTACTGTACTGTACTGTACTTTGCTGTGCTGTACTGTACTGCTTTAGAGTCGACGCTATTTGAAAAAGGGGCACTTTGTGCTTAAACATTCCTTCTGGCGCACCGATCGATTGAAATCGACTGTGCTGTACTGTACTGTACTGTACTGTACAGTGTACTAGAAAGAGTGTGTTTCGGCTTTTTTTGAGTACAAAGAGCTTAGTAACTTACTGGTCCCATTTCCCGGTCCAACTGCATTCAGAATCGAATAGTTTTTGGATGAATCTTGTTGAAAAACCTGAATGAGAGAACTCTCTCTTGCCAATCTTTTAATCTTCACTCACTTTATCCGCATCAAAAACTCCATTGAGTGGAGCGGCTGTAACCATTTGTGATACTCGACAATATGTCATATTCTCGACTTGAGTCACAACTTCTTGCGTGAAATTAATCGCTTTCATCAGAGCCTAAATATTCAAAGATTTTAAGAGTAAAGATTTGTCGAAATCGGTTCTAGAAAGAATTTTTGTATTGAAGATTCAAAAGTTTATCAAGTTTTTGGTAAATTTAAGATTAGAAGGAAAACCCACAAATAATTCTCAAGTTATGACAGTTTCAGAGATTTATAGAGATGTTTAGAGATCGCAACTGTTCTAATAAGCTTTCTGAAATGATATCTGGACTTAAAGGTGGATTTGGGTTTAGCTAAAGCTAAACCAAGATCCTGATCTGATACAGACTTCAGTCAAGTCTAGTATTTATCTATAAGCAATAAGTGTACCATTATCCCCTTTCACTCACATCAACATTCGTAATCCGAAGATTTTGTGGAGTCGCATCATTGTATGAGAGTCCAGCCGTCATTTGTCGTCCATTTGTCCATGAGCATTCTGTCACCGGTGTGTTTGCCTGGAATATTAGATTTGAGTAACATTTTCAAGGCATTTTGTCATGCTAAGAGTAGTCTTCGATTGAGATTTTACGTATAAATTTCAGTAATAATAATAATAATATATACCGGGGCTACCGGTATTTTGCACACACATAATCACAATTTGCACATTAAGAACTAGGGAATAGTCTATCATTTGTGAAGATGGGACGATGTAGGAGACGATGTTGGAGACGATCTAGGAGACAATGTAAGAGACGATGTAGGAGACAATGTAGGGGACGATGTAGGAGACAATGTAGGAGACGATCTAGGAGATGATGTTGGAGACGATGTAGGAGACGATGTTGGAGACGATCTAGGAGACAATGTAAGAGACGATCTAGGAAACAATGTAGGAGACGATCTAGGGGACAATGTAAGAGACGATCTAGGAAACAATGTAGGAGACGATCTAGGGGACAATGTAAGAGACGATCTAGGAAACAATGTGGGACGATCTAGGGGACAATGAGAGACGAGTAGGAGACAATGTAGGGGACGTGTAGGAGACAATGGGGACGACTAGGAGAGTGTTGGGACGGAGGGACAGTGGGACGACTGGGTGATGTTGGGACGAGTGGGACGAGTTGGGCGATCTAGGAGACGATGTTGGAGACGATGAAGGAGACAATGTAGGAGACGATCTAGGAGACAATGTAAGAGACGATCTAGGAGACGATGGAGACGTTGTTGAAGGAGAAGGCTACCCGCTTTATATGAGCTTGCGCTTTAGACAAGTCTACTCATTTGGATCCCTGGTTATCCCAATCCCGAGGGGAAGGGGCCTAAGGGGGCCTAGGGGGGCCGGTCTTGGGAACCAGTTCACCATATGAGTGCGGTTACCTACAGCACTCAGTTCAGAGAAGATATCCCTGACTCATTTGCTGGATTCAAATCAGAGACTAGCCGAGCCCTTGGCAGATCTTGGCAACTTGGCACAACACTTGACTAGCCATACTGACGATCTGACGGGATGCCGTGTTTCTACGTGACGAGACCGTAGTTGCTCGATGTTTTCGGGATTGTTTAACAATAAAAATTATGTTTTAGAAATGTTATAAACCAAAAAGGTTCAATAAGAGTTTAAATTGTGATTTTGAAATGCTTATTGCCAGTTTCACTGACCATACACGGTCCTCCAGTTCCTTCAATATTCTTGCAAGCGACTCCTTGAAATCCCATCGCCATCCATCCCATATAGGGAAGATTATTCGCAAAGAGTTCGATTTCGATCGTTTTTGCACCCTAGAAAAGAAGCATTTTATTAAATACTTCAATAGTTTCAATAGTAAAGTTTTCTAAAGCCTTCTAAAGCCTTCTAAAGCCTTCTAAAGCCTTCTAAAACCTTCTAAAACCTTCTAAAGCCTTCTAAAGCTTTCTAAAGCTTTCTAAAGCTTTCTAAAGCCTTCTAAAGCCTTCTAAAGCCTTCTAAAGTCTTCTAAAGCCTTCTACAGTTTTTCTTTATTGAATTTTATTGAATGACTTTAAACAAACCGTTTGTTTTATCGACACACCATTCGTGCAAGTGTCCGTATTTTGGAGACAATTCGATGGACTTAAAAGACAGATTTTCACCCCATTGCACTCAGTGAAATCGAATGGGCTTTGCGCGATTGTCTGCAAAAAAAAAAGTTAGATGAATGGATATAAAATAAGCTAAAGAAAGTTTTGACTAAACTATTACGGTTACCTTCTGCTTAGTAGATTTTAAACCTACATTACTAGAAAGAATACTAAAAATAGTATTAGTTATTGGTTAGAGAATAGTTAGAGAACCTTAGAGAACCTAGAAAACTTTAGAAAAGCTTTAGAAGGCTTTAGAAGGCTTTAGAAGGTTTTAGAAAGCTTTAAAAGGCTTTAGAAGGCTTTAGAAAGCCTTAGAAAACTTTAGAAAGCTTTAGACAACATGAGAAAACTTTAGAAAAGCTTTAGAGAACCTTAGGGAACCTAGAAAACTTTAGGAAAGCTTTAGAAACCCCTCGAAAACTCTAGAAAAACTGTAGAAAACTTTTAAAAAGCTTTAGATACTTTAGAAAACCTTAGAGAACCTAGAAAACTTTAGAAAAAGATTCAATTTTGGAATAGAGCTGAAAATGGGATATCTTGACTTTAAGATGATGATATAAGATGAGAGTTGCATTTACAAAGTGCTATACATATCTGAAAATCAATGCTATAAGTTTTTAAAAGTCAAAATTTCAAAGTCGATTCAAAGTCAGAGAGACAAAGTCAAGATATCCCATTTTCAGCTCTATTCCAAAATTGAATCTTTTTCTAAAGTTTTCTAGGTTCTCTAAGGTTTTCTAATGTTGTCTAAAGCTTTTCTAAATTTTTCTACAGCTTTCTACAGTTTTTCTAGAGTTTTCGAGGGTTTTCTAAAGCTTTTCTAAAGTTTTCTAGGTTCTCTAAGGTTCTCTAAAGTTTTCTAAAGTATCTAAAGCTTTTCTAAAGTTTTCTAATTTTGTCTAAAGCTTTTCCAAAGCCTTCTATAGCTTTCTAAAGTTTTCTAAGGCTTTCTAAAGCCTTCTAAAGCTTTTCTAAAGCTTTCTAAAGCCTTCTAAAGCTTTTCTAAAGCTTTCTAAAGCCTTCTAAAGCTTTCTAAAGCCTTCTAAAGCTTTCTAAAGCCTTCTAAAGCCTTCTAAAGAGGCCTAATAGAGGCCAATTTTAACTTCATGATGGAAAGTACATCTTTTTCAGTGCCTTCACAACTTTTCGAAAGAAAAATGACTTCAACCCTGGCCAGGACTTTTTTTGCGAATCGATGAGCCTAGTTTGATCAGTAGTTCAGCTCAGCTTTGTCTATTAGATTAAAATTAGAGAAAGTTGTACTAAATGATTAGCTTTTCTAAAGTTTTCTAATGTTGTCTTTGTTCTAATGTTTCTAATTCTAATTTCTAATGTTCCAAAGCCTTCTAAAGCCTTCTAAAGCTTTCTAAAGATTTCTAATGTTTAGTTTTATCGATTTGTTTATCTAAAAACACAAACCTCTATCAAAAAGGAGAAATAAATGAGGAAAAATGGGAGTGAATCGATTCGCGAAGCCATGAACTCTCAACAATTTCTAAATGTTTCATTTTTCAGTTGAATATCTTTTTCTTTTAAGAGAAATTCGGTGATGAGTGGGTAGAAATTTCTTGGAAACTCGTTATTCAATCAGGAAAAAATTCTTTGATGTTTTTAAAAAGCAAAAAAGGCGAATTTCAGTCCCAAAGGTGCAGAAAAATGAAAATTTTCGTCAATTTTGAATAAATGAATAAAAAAACTTCCGAAACCAGTTAATTTTATGACGAATTTTGAGGAAGGATTAGGAATTTCGGGACTTTTTTTTTATGAAATTCTATTTGTTGAAGCAGCCTTTTATTTGCTTTTGCATTTGTTCATTTTGGGGGTTCTGAAATTGTTGAAACCAAATGGGGAATTTGTTTGTTCAGTTCGGAGAGTCATTCCGAGTTTTTAGAGCATCAGAATGAGTCAAGAGTGAAAAGGAGATCAAGTTGAAGAAGATTGATTGCAGTTTTGGAATTGATAGTTTCGTTGTTCAGTCTAGAATCAACGGATAAAAAGAGCCGAAAACTGAAGAGCTTGAGGAGTCCCTTTAGGTGTTTTTGATAGTCACAAGTACGCCTTAAGCTACCTGTGATTCTGTTGGCCGCCATTCTTAAATGCAAATTGATCTGTTAAATGCTAAGGTTGTTAAATGCTGGTCTCCGTAAGAGTCACAAGTACCGATCAAAATGTACCAATACTTTGCAGAACTGTGGCCGTGCCAAACGAAGTATTTCCGCTAACGTTCGCTCTGCTCCCAAGAATACTTGGACTGTGAAAGGGTAAGTGATAAAGCTGGCTCAAGCTGGCTCAAGCTACTCAAGCTGCTCAAGCTACTCAAGAAGCTGCTCAAGCTACTCAAGAAGCTGCTCAAGCTACTCAAGCTGCTCAAGCTACTCAAGAAGCTGCTCAAGCTACTCAAGAAGCTGCTCAAGCTACTCAAGAAGCTGCTCAAGCTACTCAAGAAGCTGCTCAAGCTACTCAAGAAGCTGCTCAAGATACTCCAGCCGCTCAAGAAGCTGCTCAAGCTGCTCAAGAAGCTGATCAAGCTGGCTCAAGCTGGCTCAAGCTCATTATACTAGTTTTCAAGAGGAGATTCAAAGCTTTGGTCAAAGTTTAGTTTATCTATTGTTGTTGGTTGTTCAGTCTAGAATGAATTCATAAAAAGAGCCGAAAACTGAAGAGGTTAGCACAATGAGCTTGAGGAGTTCTTTTTGGTCAATGCAAAAGTCAAGTTTTTCTAAAGACAGCTGTTTTGTTTTTATTAGTTTTGTTAAGATCAAATGTCAGGCTTGGTTCTGGCTGGCATGGCATGGCTTGCAGTCGGCTTGGCTTACAAAAACTTTCTAGGAAACCTGAAAAAAAAATCAGAATTTCCAGGTTGGTCAAGTGGGATCTAGATTTACTGAAGATCTGACCGCTAAAAGAACCTTATCTTGGAATTAGAGATTTATCCAAGACCGACTTCTGGTCTGGTTTGGCTCGAACCTTGGCTAAAATTTGTTGACTTTGGTTGTCGAGACTTGTCTAAACTTGTCTAGACTTGCCTAAACTTGTCTAAACTTGTCTAGACTTGTCTAGACTTGTCTAGACTTGTCTAAACGTATCTAAACTTGTCTAGACTCAAAAGTTGGCCAGCAAGGCCAGCAAAAAGCTTCAAAGAACTGTTGAATCAACTTTTTAAAGAAAAACCTTTTCTTAAAAGATCTAAAGAAGAGGAATCGATCACAAAATACTGAATTTTGCTTTTTGAGAATGAAAACTAGATCAAATACGCGAAGATTTTAGTTGTGAGTTCAAATTTTGCGGGATAATTTCAAAGAAAAAGGAAAATAAGCGGAAATTCGGAAATTCTTCTAGATTTTACTTGAAATCACTTTTTCCGAGTGCGGAAATTCGTTTTTTTAGGCTATTTTAAGATTTTCAAAACTTCTGATCACTGAGCGTTTTCAAACTATCAAAATCTATAATATTTTCAAAATAAAAGAAGATATCACTTGATATCAGGCTAGGCTAGGCAAAATAAAAGAAGGCTAACTTTTCGTAAGCTGATTTGAATAAAAAAGAAAATGTAAACTTAATAATAGAAATAATAGAATAGAAGTTAGTAAAATCTCAAAAATTATCAAAAATTATCCCTTTGTAGCTAGAGATTTGTTTTGCTACAAAAAGCTTTGAAGAAATGTTTGAAATTTCAAGAAATTGGACCCTTGGGAGTTCTCAGAGAAGAAAAATGAGAAGAAAAATTACCGTAGCCTTGAAATGAGATTAGAAAAAAGGTACACAAAGCTACATGAGAGGAAGATATCAAATGAATAAGTCTGTCTGTTCAAGAAAAGGTGTAAACGTTGGGCTTCTGATGAGCGTCTTCTCATTTCATTCTCATTACTGACTTGTCATTCTTTCGAGACAAAAGTCTACACCTAGCATTATGTTCTGATTTAAAGTTGAAGCTCTTTAACACGTTCGGGACGGTTCGGTCCACCGGTGGACGAAGCCCGTCGGGCCTCTGGGACAGTTCGGTCCACCGGTGGACGAAATTGTGGTCCACCGGACGAAATCCCTCCCGCCCCAGAGACAGACGCTCTACCGACTGCGCTATAGAAGACCTCTATTGCGCGTATCCCAGTAAAACGGCCATAACTTTTTGGGATAAAGTCTTATCAAAAATGATGTTGATGTGAAATGTTCATCTAGCTGAGCTCCATCCAATAAAACAAAAATCGTGGAAAACAAACCATTGGAGAAAGAGAAAGCGTTTTGTCTCACGAGCCAAAAAGAGCCGATATCTTTTTGAGGCAGTAATATTTTCAAAATCTGATTAGAGTTTCGGATTCAGCATGAAATTTTACACATAGGAGGTGTATTTCGGGGCTAATAGCTTTTCGAGACACCCCTCGTCCACTGGGGCAGTAGCGTAAAAAACGCCTTGTCGCGAATGTGTTAAAACAAATTGCAATCTATTCAGTCAATCCGTCTCATTTGACTTTTGAACTTGACAATGGCAGCCAAAAGAATCTGGTTTAATAAAACAAGCAAACAAACAAACGAACACTCTATGTATCAGATAATATTGATGAGCTTAGCCTAGCCTAGCCTGATATCAAGTGAGTTTCATTCACTCTAGAAGCTCTAGAAACTCTAGAACCACTCTAGAAACTCTATAATCACTAGAACCACTCTAGAAACACTCTAGAATCTGGTAAGCCTACCAGGCAAAGCCAGACGAGAAATCAGATCCAGAAACTTTTGTGGATCTGCAATGAATCAATTAAAGCATTCGAAGCATGACCAGAAGTCAGAAGCCTTTTTGAATCCCTTCTGGAGTCAGAAGAGATCTGAAATTGAGACTAGGTTGCTAAAAGGAAACTTTAAACAAAGCTTGTATGGGTTGGCTAACGAATAAACCTACTTTAGAATCCAATATGGTTCCAATCAAAATGGTTCGGATACGGTTCCAATATGATTTGGCTTAAAGACAAGCTTTAGATCTAGCTCTAAAAGCTCTAAAAGCAAAGCAAGACAATCTCTAAAAGCAAAGCAAACCAGAAAACAGAAAACAGAAAACTTGAAAATGAAACAAAAAGATTCTAGTTTAAAGCTTTTGAACTTTCTTTCATCGAGATCGCAATTAGTGAGTGATTCAGAAGTATTCGAATAGAAATCACCAAAAAAAAACACGGCTTATTAGTTGAGAAATTTTTGTTTAATTTCTTTTTTTAAATAATTTCTTCTTTCAAAAGAAAGATATTCAATGAAGACGTATATTTGAGGAGAAAATAAATGAAAAAAAAAGAAGCCCTATCGAAAAAAACGCACTTTCGGGTCGATTTTGAACATAGCATATTGGGATTCTCTTGCGCGACACAAAAATAAGAAATTCATTTTGTAAACAACACTGATTGGCTGAAATTGACTGAAAAATTATTTAAATTATAAAAAGTGAATTATCTGGCATAGTAGGGTTGAGTTTTCAGTTTTAAAAGCAAAAAAAAACCCCATCAAATCCTGCTATTAAAGTCAAGTGATTTTCAGCCATTTTTCAGAGACATTTCAAGTGATCTCATTTACTCGAAAGCTCTAAAGCGTTTTCCGATTATCGTAGTCCGTAACGCATAATAAATGTTACCATAATCGAGACTACTTTAACATTTAGTAAAATAGATACCGTATTTTCTCTAATAGTAGTGCACCCGGGCGAGCCGAGTTGGTGACTATTTTACGATTTTCAAGCTTTTGCAGGAGCTGCAGAAGCTACAGAAGCTGCAGAAGCTACAGAATCTACAGAAGCTACAGAGGCTGCAGAGGCTGCAGAAGCTGCAGAAGCTCAACACTCAAATCCCCCACTAGATCTCATCGTCAGCTACATTTTCCGACCCCATATCGATAGGTTTTGATAAGCGGTTCTCGAGATTTCGAGCAATTTAGGCGACGCTCAGGGTGCACTAATATTAGAGAAAATACGGTAATTCTACAATAAACTGTAGAAATAAACCTGCCTACGGCGGGTTTTCCCGCTCGTGGTTTAGGGACGGAGTTCGACGCAAAGCTGCGAGCGCTCCTTTTTGCTTAAAAAGGTTATTTCTATAATATTTGAGCTTTGGTAAAAAAGCAAAACGTTTGGGCGGAAGCGGATTCGAACCCTTGATTTCTCTCACTCCGTGCGAGGGCGCTAACCACTCGACCATTGCGCGCCACGGTGGCATAATTACCACTCGGCAGATGGACTCCTCATCGCTCGAATGATTTTCCATCCAGAGCTCATGATCGTCAAAAGAGCTGGGCCAAAAACGAGTAGAGCTAACGTACCAAAGTAGGCTGATGTGGCCGACCAGTCGAGCACGCACAACTCAACGTCTTCCCAGTAGATCACCTAAAATTAAGCCTTAGCTCAGTTGACAGCTAAATGAACTTATCAGCTAATGAACTAAATGAAACAGCATCTATCTAGGTCTAGATATCTAGGTTAGATTACAGCTGGGGTTCAGCGGGCACCAGTT